AAATTAGGACATATCTCATGGTATATCGATATATCGCATGTATTGTAACAGTGCGTGAGTTAATTATAAATATTTAAATATTACATTGAAGAAATACTAATATTTCATACGGTATTCATTCCTATCACATTATTTTTAGCAATATTTGAAGTTTTATGGGACAATTTATACAGTAGAAATATAATATATTTTATGTCGAATGTGTGTTATAAAAAATATTTCTTTTGAATTAAATATAACATAATAAATTTTAAATAAGTTAACAAAATATATAAATATTTACGTAGATAAGTTAGCTATCCGAGTAGAAATTTGGTCAGAACATGCCTTGTGTATGGTTCTTGATTAATTATGAATAAGGCATGCCAAATCAGTATCTTTATAGGATTTTTTTATTTTACTCTCAAAATTGATTTTGAAAAACAATTAGGCATGCCTGATGGCCTAATACAGTATCAGTCAGGACCTTCTCCTTAGAATTTGTTAAGTTTGTCCTTAAAATTTTATAGTCTCAGTTGTAATGATAAAGTAAGAATCAGAACCTTTTTGAATTTTTTTTTAACATAAATTTTGAAGATGTCACTCTGTCATGCTTTAAAAGATCCATATGACAATTTTTCTCAATTTTCTCTAATATGTGTTATTATATGTTATATTATATAAGTTATTATATATTATTATTTTAACCAGTTAACTGTAATCTTGTAACATCCATAAATTGGATGAATATAAAAAAATCTTAGTTTTAAATAAATAATAAATATTAAAAATATGAAATTGATATAGTTTGATCGTACAAAGCACTCTGCCTGAGTAGTATTATACTTCATCGTACACTTAGAGTTCAATTTGATTGAATTAACTCTCTTGTTTCGATATGGGTAAACAAATCCTTGATTGATGCAATTTACTTTTCTACCAAAAATAAGTAAATATATGTTAGAAAATTTTAGGATATAAAATATAAAATTCATATCAATTTAACTTTAAAATGTACTTATCGAAACAAATAAAAATGAATACCTTTTTTTAATTAAAAATGCTAATAGAGAAAGTATATTGTGGAAAATTAATTTTAGCCTCAATCAGAGATTAAAGCAGAATATTTTGCGAATATCTGTGACGCTAGTAAAATAATCGAGAATTTTAATAGAAACGTTCACCGAGGTGTACGGAAAGTCCGATGTGAAATGCACTTGTTGAATCTAGTATTTTTTTTTCAATTGGCCGTATCTGTTATCATTGTTAAATACAATATTTTTGTCGCAATTTTGTCGCAAACGTGTTTAACGAAGAGATTCATATCTCATGTTTTACAATTTACATGTTGTAACTGTTTGTAATAAGAAGTGTCTGAAAAATGAATTGTTTCGATATTTGTCTCGCATTGTCTCGATATTTGTTCTTTTATTTAAAAAATTTAATTAACGTCATTCACACATTCGAGAGAATATGAAAGTACATATAATACTTTACTTTGAATTATACGAGTCATTTATTTCTAAGAATAAATCTTCATCATTGACTTTCCTCTTTCTAAAATGACATCGATCGTAAATCATGATGAGTCATTATCTCTGGTCTGATTTTCGTCTTGATTCTCTGGGGAATACGTCCACGCGGATATACCGCTGGCAAACGTTTGCTTATGTCTTCCGGTAGCTGTTTCCATAACATATAAATAATAGTATCGATGGCGTTCGAGCATCAGATGATATTATGAAGCTTCGCTGTTCTTACGTTATAATAGGATGCAGTCACCGATTGACTGCAAATTTAGATACAAATTTAATTTACATATTCAATTTTTAGAAATGTAAGTGCTTCCTAATTATTATGCATAGATTTGTATAAAAGCCATGCAATTTTGAATTTTCTAATGTTCAATTATTATAGTTAATTATTATAGTTAAAATTTTACATAAAATTTATCTTTAAATCTTCTTTTAATATTTTTTAAATATCTACTAAAATATCCTCCATTTAATCCATTAATGCGACGACTGAATCTATAAATTCATAACAACTCTGTAAAATACAAAATTTCTTATGTAAAAATAATCACTTTGTGTGATATTGAATAACTGAAAAATTCAACATATTCTCTTTCACGATACACATTTTCAATATAAAAGCGATTTAGATTTACGACAAAATAATGTAAAAAAATGTTTTCATTATTGCTGCTTATATAATTGCATATTATATAAATACACTGCAAATATAATTTTAAATAGAAATTTATTTTGAACTTTAATACGAATTATATACGCGATTAACCTATAAGTATGTAGGAGTATAGTTTACAAATGTGTACATTCTTTAAATATTTTTCATATTACTGAACATATAAAATTATAAAAAGAATTTTGTTATGACTTGTAGAAATAGATTTGAAAAAGTAATTCTGGAAATCAAATTGAATTAACATTTGATTGAATTCTAAAATTAACTTTAAATTCAAATAAAATTAAATTGGATGTTCGTGTATTGTGTAAATTTTATAAATTATATCAGATATATCACAATTAATAATTTTCTAGATTTGATATCTTTCAAATTATAAAAAATTAGTTATAAAGTAAGAAATAATGCAATTTACTTGGTTAATGAATGGAATATATAAAAATAGGCAAATGTAAAAATCGTTATATAATATATTCTTATTTTTATGCTAAAATTTTACGACAATCATAATTGTCAATAATTGTGTAAATTAATAATTAACAATTATGTAAGATAGTATTCTCGCTTTAAGTATATTTTTTAGGAATTTTTTTTTATAAAGTATAAAAGAGCTAAATATAATTTTTTTTAAACTTGATACGTATTTTTGACATTTTAATGTTCTTTACAAATTTTTTTCAAACAAAATATTGTTGTGGTAATTATTTGCAAATCTGTATAAGCATGTAAAAAAATATGCCTCACAAAATATGCCATTAAAATGTATGTTGTGTGTGTGTGTGTGTGTGTGTGTGTGTGTGTGCGCGCGCGCGCGCACAGAAATTATCTGAAATAAAAAATTAAAAAAAATTTTAATTAATATAAATATAAATCTCGTCCTTTGATATTTAAGTAATATTTAAATATCAAAGAATAAATATACCAAGTTTCAAGTTTATAATTTTTATATTTGTCTACAAAAGATTCCTAAAAAAAGGATATAAAAACGATACTGAAAGCAAGAATACTTCCTTAAAATAGAATAATTTAATTAATTTTTCTCTGTTATTTTTTCGTCTATAATTTTTGTTAATTATTCTTCTAAATATACAGGATCACTCTTTTTTATGCAAAAATACTTTTCACATATTCCAGGAATGTTTTTCAATTACGTTAAATAAATATGCAAGAACAATGTCAACCATATTTAATTAAAATTTTAACTGTAAAAAAATAAAAAGAATATTTTCTTCATATTCAAGTAAAATATTAATCAGCACTGAAATGCTTGTAAAGTTGGAGCGAAAAGCTAGTTGAAGTATAGAAAGCCAGTCGAAATCGATACGGCGGTAAGTACATGTGAAATATCGTTCATAGGACACGGAAGTATCTTTTTCTCTGTTACAAAAAGATACAATTAAATGTCGTATCGCGAATTCTACTTATTAAGCACAATATTTTTACATTTGCATTCACAAACTTTCCTAATGGTTAACAATATGGTTAATAATTATTATAATGGTTAATAATTATTTAAACTTGAAACTGTATCTTATTTACATACTTAATTATTTTTAAATCATATCAATTTCAAAGACACTGAATTTGGAAAAAAGAAAATTTTTTCATTGTCTTTAAGAAAGAGACTTTAAAAATATCAATCTTTCTGAAATATGGATTAATTTTAAAATAAATAAATAAATGCGATGAAAGAAATAAAGGAAAGAAAAGGGCAGATAAGAGGAGGGTAAAAAAAATTAATCACGGTTAATCCTTACAGAAATCGAATCTAATTTAACTGGTCAATTTTCTACTACTAAAAATTATTTATTTTGAATGTTAAAAGCATTAAATAATAATATTTTTAATATTCAAAATAAATAATTAATAAATCACTAACTTCTAGTATCAAATTTCTGTAAGATAGCGTTTTATTTTTATGAGTTTTTTATGTAACTAATACGGCCCTGCAGCCGGTAGCGCCGGTTTCAAAGCAACCAAAGTTCCGGCGTCGAATGTGTTTCTCAGTTAGCGTCGCGACGCCGTCGTCGGAGGTACGCTGGAGACATTTATAACAGCCCCTGGCGACAGTATTTTATTTTCATTTTGTCCTAAAGAAAGTCAGATAAGAGCGCATAATTAAACGAATATTGCTTATAATTCTTAATTTGATTTAAATTAATTTTTAATAATAATTGAGAAAGAATGAAAAGGTGCATTGCATATTATCTTAAACTATATCTTGGTAAAAAAACTAAAATCTAACAGCACCATAAGGATCCACATATAAGAAAGTGTGTTAAAAAAACGATTTCGGAAACTTTAAGAGTTTTGTACATATATAATTAGCGCGTTTCGGAATGATAATTCTTTCACGCATTATTGACTCGCTGTCGTATCGTTTGTGAATCAGATAATCCGTCGAAATAACAGAATAAATCGAACGTTTGACCCGTTTTTCTCAACGGAGGAAGAATAAGAGACTATCCTCTTTCAAATGCTGTGGGAAAGGATAACGCGAGTGATTTTTCCTACTTTTCTTCTGATCGGCGTCAAATGACGAACGAAGACGCGGAATGTCGAAGGAAATCGAAAAGGACATGCGTTGAGGAAATAGTTTCCCTCGTCGAAAGAAAATACGAGCTTTCCTCAGTAATTTTCATCTTTCGCGTGTGAGTGACTCAATTACACAAGGGGGATGAGTGTCGTAGTCTTAAATCATAAAGCAGAATTAATTGTAAGCATATAAAAGCAAGGAATAAATACAGCTAAATAGAATATAAATTAAAATAATTAAAAAGAAGTAAAATAAATATAAAATAACGTGATGAAAACGAAATAAAATTAACAGTGTGTGAAAATTTATGCAAATTGTGCAAGGTGTATTTTTTTAAAAGCTTTCACGAAGAAAATTCTCGCGTTAATATTTAAGAGAAAAGTGATCAATGAGAAAATATGATCAATGTGCAGTTTCGCGATTAATGCAATTTTCTGCAGACAGTGGCTGAATAAGAAGTACCGGATGGATTAAATTAAAGTGAAAAGAGATAAAATAAGAGGTAGTATCAATTTGCATCGTTAGAGGAAGAGACCGAGTTTATTTGCTCGCTGCGACTGAGACAGGTGATAAATCGACGGCAATAAAAAGATGAAAGATCATGCAATACTTCTTTTTATTATGTTTCTTTTATAATGAATCTAATATTTCGTATGTTTGTTCCATTAGCATAATTGCCGTTTATATCGGATTAAGATCACGGATGACTCGGCGACGAATCGGATTATCACGCTTTTCTTTTGCATTGTCTGCACGTATAATTGTACACGATTATCTTATTTACACAGGAATTTTTCATAAAATTCTTAAACATATTATTTATATTATATATCAAATTGAGAAATTATATAGTTTGTAATTTTGATTTGTAATATTACAAATCAAAATTAGAGTCAGAATTAATACTTGATAAAATATCTCTTTGAATCTCTCTTAAAATCATTTAAACTTTTAGATAGCTTTGCATAGAAATTACATAATTTTCGTATAAATATATAATAAATATTTGTACATATTGACATAACTAAAAGCTGAAAAGTTGAAAATTTAGTTAAAAGTTAATTAAATATTACTCCAATAATACCCCACAAAGTTTTACGCAGCGAAATAATGTACAGTTTAGTGATAAAGATCTCTTACGTCAATGTTTAATGTTTTAAATATTTAGATGTTTCCAATATCATTGTAGAACTTTTCAATCGTATTTATTCAGATGACATACTTCACATTAAATATCTGTTTTGTGCATTAAACAAAATTGCATCGTGATTGTCACTAAATGCGATTGTGCAATTGCGTGAAATATAATTCTCTTTCACTGTCCGACACGTTAAGTGCACTTTATGTATTACGATCTCATATGTCTATTATTAGAATTCATCCTATCATTAGAATACGGCCATTGACCTACAATGTTATGTAATAATAATAATAAGAAGAAGAAGAATAATTTAGATAGAAACAGGATTTAGATTACAAGAGCGCAAGTTTGCGAAATCACTAAGAACACGGTCAAGATCATTTGAGCGCCTATGATTGGCACGATTCTTTATACCGTCATCATTGGCATTGATTAATTGGCACTGAAATTGATACTATTTATCTTTGAGAGATTGGATTAGAATAATTAACATATTTAATTTAATATTTTTTTAATGCTCAATTTAATATTAAAACATTTTAATTCTGTTGAAACCAAGTTGAAATGTTTTAATTATATTACATTTATATATATATATATATATAGATCTTGTAATATTAAATTATTTCAAGTTTATGCTCTTTGTAAAGTGATTTCGTTAATATTTCAAGCAGAAAATAAGACTTATTCGATAGAAATTTATTAAAGCGCTGCGGTTAATACTTTTGGTTAATTCGTTCCCCGATAGGTGAATATCTTCTTATTGCAATGTTTTAAATTGCAATAAGCAGTTACTTGGTTAAGAATTATAATTTTTTACAGTGTGAGATGTAGCGATATATTAATGGCTCTTCGTGATCATTTAAGAAGCCGCGAATGACCTCTTTCGCAAATTTTGCGGAGAGATAGGTTGCTTTTCAAGATAAATCTCTTCCACAGAGTCCCGCTCTAGGAGCTTGCCAACATTCTTCTGTCTGTCCGTCTATTTATACTTACGTTCAAATAAAAGTCATAGATCTGTGGAAAATAGCAGACGCGACAAAAAGTAGCTAAAATGACACCAGTACGCCATTACGTCCAACGAGTTTATAGTAGTGCGAACTGTGCGTAAATGTTGAGTGATTTGTCGTAAACATTCGAGGATCTTTGATTCTCGTATATCGTACGTAAGCGCAGAATCGATTGTCGTCACGTTGAATACTCTAACCAGTGACTATAATCGTATTTCTTGTAGAAAGAGGTGCTTCGTCGGAGGAATTTAAAGTCGGAGGAATTTGGAGTCGGAAGAATGCGTTCCTTAGGGAATTGCTCTTCAAAAGTATCGAACGATAATTTCTCCTTGTGATTCCCTGTAGAATCTGAACGATTAAAGGAGGAAACGATCGCGGAAAATCATCGTATTTGAAACGCGAGTAAGGTACTAAGAGCACGTTTCGTTTAAGTGTTTACCAGTTTTGTACCTCGTGACAGTTGTCGCAAAATCGACTACAAACATGTCGAATTCACCGCGAATGCGAAAGATGCCACCCAGGCCAAAGATCTTACTTCCAGTTCCCGGACAATACTATCCGCATCCGCCGACGGCGACCGGTATGAGTTACGTGTCGACGCCGTACGGACAAACACCAGTACCTATGACTCCGGTTGCCGGTCAGCCGCAGATTTTTTACTCTAATCGGGCCAGTGAGTTCGTCTATACACAATTTAAGGGGATCAAGGATCTAACAAAATCTGGTCTTAGTGTGGGCGAGAAGAGCGCCTTTTGGCTTTATGAGAAGGTAAGTGGGACGGAATCAAGTAAACATGATAATTAATAAAAATATCATAATTAATAGTAACCAATGTTATAATTTCATATTCAACAAAAATATAAATGTAATATAACGCATGTGTAACATATAGTTACTTGGTTGAGTTTAGTGAAATTATATTAGGTGTTGGAATTAATTCGTAGCGTTTTTTAATGAAAGAATGTTATTTATTTCACATGAGCATTAAAAAATACATTAATGAAAGTACTTCCCATCACTTGTAAAACGCTACGAATTAATTCCAACACCTAATAATATTAATGTTAAGTTTGTTCGCTTCGCATGTTCTAAGATACTTTACAATATGCTCCAATATGTATGTTCCGACATGTTTCACAATACCATATACTTCAATATACATGTTCCAATATGTACTTAGCTGCTGACTCCAACACGCTCATTGATAGGAGCATGTTGGAGCATTCGACGCGAACAGATCTCCTATATTACTATAAGTGTCATGCAGTACTTAAGTACCTACAAGTACAGATATTCTAGAGAAAATGTACCGAAGTACAGGAGTACAAGTCTAGAAAAATAAATATATATATATTTAGATACTGTACCGAGATGTTTTTTTTTTTGGAAATCGATTATGTAATTTTTTTCTTAATGCGGAAACGTAAAAAGTGAAAAATTTTATGTATATATTGGGT